GCAGAGGGCCTGCCTCAACATTACAGGTTATATCGAAGGGAAATGGCCAAGGTCTAGAGTCCCCTTGGACTGTGGGTTGCTAATCTCTGGAGCTCAGTCACTCACTTACGTGACCTTGGGCAAGTCACTCTCCCTTTCTGACTCCAGCTTCCTTATCTGTAGATGGTGTTGATAGTAGCTCCCTCTAAGCCCCCAGAACTCAGACAAGAGAAGGGCTTAGCCAAGTGCCTACATCAGACTAAGTGTTCCGTAGATTGCTGCTGCCTCTGTTATTGTGCCTTTATATAGTTTCGGGTTTTTGTTTGGTTTGGTTTGGTTTCAAGATAGGGTTTCTCTGTGTAGCAGCTCCAGCTATCCTGGAACTCACTCTGTAGACCAGGCTGGTCTCGAACCTGGAAATCCACCTGCCTCTACCTCCCGAGTGCTGGGATTAAAGGCGTGTAGCACCGCTGCCCGGCTGCCTTTGTATAGTTTTGTTATTAGCAAGGTGAGTTTCAAAATGAGGCAGGAAACACGTGGCCTGAAGTTCTTCGTCTAATTTCTCAGGCTTGCAGAAGCTCACTGAAAATCCTGCCGGTGTAGTCCCCACCAAAACCTAGAGGATAGAGAGACTAAGGCCCCAAGAAGCCAAGTGATTTTCCAATAACATTCCCTGGAGTCAGGAGTAAGTACCCCCTGGATGCCAGCCTCTGCGCTAGGGCTAACCAAGCTGAACAGACCCTGTGGATCACTCTGGCACCAGCCAGAATGATGGAAGGAATTCCTTAGCATCAGAGGGGGCAAGGCTGAGGAGTCACTCCAGGTGGCAGAAACAGCGCCAGCAGAGGCACAGGAGCAGTACAGCCACTGTAGAATGGCTCATCCCAGATACCAAGGGAAAGGGTGTGGATTGAGGGCTGGAGCAAGGGCTTCACCCCAGGCGTCGGCGGAGAGAGCACCCTTGGTGACCTAGAATGTCATGCAGAAGCCCGGGCATATATCGAGGAGACTGAAAAATGAAACTCCAGAATAGAGGTTTTCTAGGCAGAAGCCGAAGGGAAGGGAAGCCCAACACTTGTGGGTTATGCTGGGTCCTTAACTGAAGAAATGGGGAAAGCACAGTCCTTATAATGTACAGATTTAGGACCACCAGAACTGGGGCCAGAGTGCCCTGCCTCATAGGCAATGCCTGTGTGCCGTGCAAGACTGGAAACCGAGCGCCGACGCCTCCACCTGCCACTACAGCCAGCTGCCCGGAAGCGCTGAGGCCGATTACAGCCCATTTCAGGAGCACCTTCGTCCACATGGAAGGGTACACATGAGTGAGTCCAAGGAGCCGTCCACGGAGCCGGTTTCAGCCTTTGCCCTTCTGACCTTTGCTCAAAGAACTAAGCTGGCTCAGCCTTTAATGATGGGCTACTGGGAACCTGGCAAGGAGACCCACGGGTGACTCATGGATAAGGGTATCAGCGCACACGTGGAGCCCTAGGGCTGCTGAGAACACCTTTCCTCTGCTTCACCATCGATTCTTTCTTTTTTCTCTATGTTCTCTTCTTCCTTTCCTTCCTTTCGTCCCCCTTTCTCTTCACCTCGCCCTATCCCCCCCCCGCCCCCCCTTGCTGGGGAATGGAATTCAGCTCTTTGCTCTCACTTCACCACCGAGCTATCTACTTTGGACCACTGTCAATTTCTAAAACTCAGCAAGTGTGTCTGGGTTCCCAGGTGCCAGTATCCTGCCAGCCGCCTTTGTTCACGCCCTAGCTGTAGCCCCACACCCGTGTCTGAGGGTCCTGGGGGCTTCGCAGCAACATCTGTTAACTTGCTTGTCATCTGCATGCTGGATGTCTGTGTAGAACCGGCCAGTGGGGGTCTTATCCGTGGCAGTCAAAGTGGATAGGATTAGTCTGCTTCGCTGTGGGTCTCTGCTGTGCAGGAAGGCTCTGTCCTGGAGACATCAGAGCTCTGCCAGGAGTTCAGGTGCTGCAAACAGGTAAGGCAGCCAGGGCTAGTGATAACAGTCTGGTGGTGGTGGTGGTGGTGGGGTAGGGAATCAACCTTTGTTTTCATCTGGGAGCAGCTGGCACAAGGCTGCCTCAGGGCAATGTCTGTGCATCCAAATAAAAGCTGAAAAATGCTGCCCCCGCCCAGTACTTCAGAACTCTGCTCAAAGGTAATTATAGGTGGCCTGGGATGGCCTACTCTACCCACAGTTTAGTGCTTACTGGGCCCAGGGCCAGGGACTGTATGGAGCTCTCTCCCCTCCCTGTCTTATTCTGTCCTAGGCCTTTAGAATCCTCAACTACAATGCTATCAGTTCACATGCCCACCCCCCATCTTGTTAGGGTTCCCCCTGGACATCTGGGTGAACTCTAGACTCTGAAGAAGGTATGGAGAGTGTGATCTTAGAATTTGTATTAATACTAGCAGTTCCAGCTTCCACACACACAGGGAGCTCAGTACCTGGCAAGCCCTGAGCTAACACCTGCCGCTGGGCTGACACTTGCTCACAGAACCCCTGTATCGTAGGTACCATCATTAGCCTCATCTTATAGGAGACACTGAGGCCCAGGAATCTAAAGGCCACATCCACTGTCACACAGCTGAGTGGGCCTGACATCTTAACCTGCGCTGAGTTCACAGCCACCAGCCAGCGGAGCAAAGGTAAGCAGGTAACTGGGCCAGATGGAGTGAGCCAAGTGAGTGGCCCAGCAGTGCCCACAGCTGGAGGGGACAGATGGAATTTATGGCCTATCATAGAGACTTGAATGACATTGTGAGTTAGTGTCTGGAGGAGGTGACAGAGAGGTAGACACACAGCGGGCACTTGTTTGGCCTCCTGACTGCCCGCCCTCTCTGCTATGCCACCTCCCTTGAGCCTGCCCAGAGTTTCTCAGCCCATGAGGAGCCTCCTGCTTATTTGTCTCCTGCAAGAGCCCCTATCCCTCCTGTGTTCCTGTGCTGGACCTAGCAGGGATGTCTAAGTCTGGCAGGCCTGGAGGCTTAGGCCCTACCTCCTCTGGCACGGGGATTTACTTCCTGGGCCTCTGCCAAGATTTATCTCTGGAATTTGCTTTGAAATACTCCTGGTCCCTACTGACAAGTGAGGGCCAAGCTGTGACCCCCTTGTCCCTGGGCTCAGGATTTCTATCTGTATGACTAGGAAATTCTTACAAGCATTTGTTAGCTGCTCACTTCTCGTTACACGGTCTTGACTTCCATTCTTTGGTCCCTTATTCCCTCCCTGGCTCTTACGTTATAGTGAAAAGATCCATGTTCACATTTTCTGCACTGAATGTTGTCTCCAAACGACCTCTGCACTGACCCTGTAACTAATCAACAAGGGACACAGACCTCTTATTGGGGACCTACCCTGTGCTGACTGCTGAGTGGAAGGAGGGGATGCACATGTCTAGATGGGGTACCATGCTACTGACCACTGAATTTCTTGCCAGTCCTTCAGGAATATAGCTCAACATCTTTCACAGTTCCAGGTGCCACTGGTAACCAGTTAGAGTTCTCCTGAAAGTAGGAACCTATTTACCCCCCTCCCTTCTATGCCCCATCTTCTACCAAAAATTGAGGCCAGGCTCCAGCCAGGGCTTCTTGTGTAATGCTGTCCTCGTCCTATGCCACCTCACAGTGTCTGTGCCCTGATTTCTGTCCTCATTCTCACTGCCTGGCCCAGGATGGGGAAAGGCAGACAGGATCATCTGTCTGCTTGTCTCAGGTTCCTGCAAGGCTATGATAGCCTGGTTGGGGACATGGCCTCAAAGTGGCACAGCACCTCCAGACAACTGTGTCTGAGAACTTCCGGTCTCTGCCCTGTCTCCATCCTGGGCCCTTGGCTGATGCAGATCTTCCCAAAGCTGCTATGGGACGTGAGGATTGCAGGGCTGTGGACCAACCTCCTGCACAAAGCAGCTCACTGTGTCGCCTCCCAGGAAAGGCTAGAGCTGCCTTCTCCCTTACCTGTTCCAGCCATTCAAACACATGGATCAAAACTCACGGTTTACTTAAGCCTGGAGGTGGGGTAGGAAGCTTACAGTCTTCCTGAGCGGAAGCAGAGGAGCCTGATCCAAGGTCCTTAAAGGCCAGCAGGAGAAAGAAGTAAGTTCTCAAGTGGGTTCTTTTGTTTATTTTATTGAGGCTGGCCTTAAATTTCCTATATAGTCCAGGTAGACATCATAGTCACAGCAACCCTCCTGCCTCAGCCTCTTACGTGCATTGCCATATCTGGCTCTCTCAGAGGATTCTTGAGAAAGCATCAGACTTGGATCAGGTGGACTGAGCTCAAGCCCTGCCCTGCCACTTGGACCTAAGTTTTCTGATTTGTAAAATAAGATAAACACAGCAATGCTTATCTCCTAGTGGTAGAGGGCTTGCCTGGCACAGGTGAGGCTCTGGGTCTCATATCCCAGCACCACAAAAATTGAAGAGTTAAACTAAACAAGGCATTCTCTTCTCCCCTCTGCATTGTTGATGGGCACCTACTACACACCAGCCTTTACATCCCGCCGCCAGGAAGACAGACGACTGCTCATTCGGAGTTGACAAAAGAAAAGCAGATAAGTCACCATGTGTCACATCATGAGAGGCAGGAGGTTACCATGTAGAGAGTGCAGAGTCCAAGAGAGGTGTCCCAGGAGTCACGAGACACCCCACTCCCTCCCAGGAAGTCAAAGAAAGCTTTCTGAAGGAATGGCTCCTGAAAGACAAAGGAGAAGGGTAGTCCAGGCTAAGCACAGGTGAGGCAGGACTGATGCTGCAAAGCAGTGGTCCCCAGCCTTCCTAATGCTGCGACCCTTTAATACAGTGGTATCCAGCCTTTCTAACACTATGACCCTTTAATACAGTGGTCCCCAGCCCTCTTAACGCTGCAACCCTTTAATACAGTGGTCCCCAGCCTTCCTAACGCTGTGACCCTTTAATACAGTGGTACCCAGCCTTTCTAACACTATGACCCTTTAATACAGTGGTTCTCAGCCTTCCTAATGCTGCAACCCTTTAATACAGGCCTCATGTGCTGGTGACCCCAACTATAGAATTACTTTCGTTGCTACTTCATAACTGTAATTTTGCTACCGTTATGAATGATGATGTCAGTGTCTGGTATGCAGGCTATCTGATATGTGGCCCCAGTTTGAAAACTGCTGGTGTATATGAAGGAGCTCAGCCAAGAACACAGCAATTATTTTAAAACTACAGGTCAGGCCAGATTCAGTGGCCCAAACCTGTAAGGAGGCTGAGGTAGGAGGATTGCTGCAAGTTCAAGGCCAGCCTGCGATTCAGAGGGAGTCCCTGACTCAAAAAACAAACAAACAAAAATAGATAAGTTAATTAATAAATAACCCAAGACAGGAACCCAGACAGACCGTCCTGGATGTGGAACAGACAAACTGGGCCGGGCGTAGCCAGAAAGCTGCATTATTTACTGCCTTGGCTATAAAATATTTACATGGCTTCCTGATGGTGTTTGCTTTCCAGGTAAACTGTGAGCCCTGCAGCTCACCCATGGGAGGAGACTCAGGGCACTGAGACGGAGATGGCTCTTAACTCTATGTTCTTCTAGAAGGCCTGAGGTTCCCACCCAATGAACTCTGGGGGAAACTGTGACTCTAGAGGACAAGGGGAAGCCCAGACAAAGGTCAGGCTATAGGGAGGGACCTGTTTTAGAGCAAGATAGAATGGTGCCCCAGTACCCCGGGAATGTGGCCCTAGACAGCTGAACTCCTCTTGTCCTGGTTTTGTTATGGTAGAATGGGACTAACAATAGCATGGTAGTTTCTTTGTTTTGTTGTCTGAGTATGTGTGTGTGTGTGTGTGTGTGTGTGTGTAAGAGACAGAGACAGACAGAGGGGAGAGGGAGAGAGAGGTCAGAGGTCAATGCTGAATGTCTTCCTCAGTTGCTCTCCACTCTAGTTTTTGAGACAGGATACCTCACTGAATCTGAAGCTCACCTCTTGGCTCTGCTGACTGGCCGATGAGCTCCCAGGACCCACCAAACTCTCCTGTTCTCCAACATTGGCACTCCAATTGCACCCAGCTTTCCTAAGGATGCTGTGAATTCAAACTCGAGTTCTTAGCTCATACAGCGAGCACTTTACCAACTGAGCATCGCTCCCCAGCCCCACAATCCGTTTCTTGAGACAAGGTCACACTAAGTTGCCTGGCTTATCGTTGAACTCATTCTATAGGCCAGGGAGGCCTTCGACTTGCAATCCACTCGTGAGAGGGAGATTGGGTAGTGTTCAAGAAGGCCAGCAGGCCAGGCCCTCAGACAGCCCCAAGCTCTTGTAATATACCTGTAGCCTTCACCCAAGGGACTCTGGGGAAAGCCAGGAATCTAAGGGTACAAGGGGAAGCACGGGCTAGGAGATGCCTCTTAGCTCTCTGAGAGGAGAGAGATTCTCAATCAAGGCAAGAGTCCTGCACAGCTGAAATTGATGGCTCCAGAAAGTGGGGTCTTATGGAGATGGGGCGGGGAGTGAACCCAAGACTTGCGGGTTCCAGCATGGGTCAGCAGGATGGAAAAGATGTCAAGAGGGCAGGAACGATGAGGTCTGCAGATTCTTGAGAGTAGCTTCCCATTTGAACGGAGACAAGCCTCAGCCCACACACCCAGGGACTTTCCCCAGGGCATCTTGGACCGCCTCACTCCACTGAGAACACTAAGGCCAGTGACATGAGGGATCGAAAGGCCACACAGTATTGGAAATCAGGTAAATTGTGCCCTCACTCTAAAAGTTCTTGATCTGAGAACTTGCAGTTAGCCAGACCAAGCAATCACTGGCTGCATTCCCCAGCACATACCCAGAGGGTACCCATTCCAATTACCTGGCTGAGTTCCCCAGCAGGGGATTCAGAATGTACCCATTCCAACCCTGTTTGCCTTGAATTGTCTTCTTTCCCTACTTTGATCTTTGTCCTTGGCAGAGGTGCCCAGCCTCTACACCCAGCGGCCAGCAGAGGAGAAGCCGTTCCTCGATGATCCATTCTCAGAATCAGAGTCAGATGCAGGAAACCCGTTGTTGAAGCAGAAGAGCGAAGGAGCTCTGGGAAGCAGAAAGGAGACCAGAGAGGAAACCACCATGCTAAAGGGAACAAAGCAGGCGGGGGCCCTGTGCACAGTTCCCCATGAGGTCTGCGTCGGCACCTTAGGGGATTTTCTTGCCACGCTTCTCAACAGCATTTTTTGGGGGAACTTCCTGCATGGAAGGCTCAACTCACTCCTTCATCTGTAGCTTTCAGGTGCCACTGGCTGGAACCCCCTCTGCTTCTCCTGCAGGGTTGCTGGAGACACTAGGGCCTTGTGGACTGCCCCTCTGCCCTGTCATACCCAAGGAGACAGCAGAGCCTGCTGAACCCTAGCACCAGGAACTCAAGGATATGACTTACGACCATGGCCCTTTGAGCAACACCCTAGTAAGCCAGGAAACCAAAATCTCTGCCCTATATCTGAAGTCTGACACTAGCCACTCAGTCTTTTTGTTTCTTTTGAAACAGGGTCTCACGGTATAGCCCAGACTGGTCTCGCGACCTTGCCACTCTTCTGCCTCATCCTCCCAAATGCTGGGAGCAACATGTCCATTCCACTCAGTCTTGAGGCCAATTTCCAGCCATCCCATCCAAAGGACGCACGGATCTTCACTAAGAGTCTAGAGTGTGCCAGGCATCCCATTATTATCTTAGTTTTACATAACTCCAATTCTGTAAGGTGAATACTATTATATATCTCCATTTTACAGATGTGAAAACTGAGGCCATACAGAGTCAAGTTAGACTAAGATGGAGCTCAACAATTTTACATATCTCCTCTCTGCTCTAAGGCATGGACATGGAGAGCTCTTTGGTACTCACCATGTCAACATTTGGGATTCAAGTGTTTGAGAATGACCTCAAAGATCAGGCATTTTCTGTTTTAGCATCATGGCAGTAGAATTTGAGTCCCGCCTAAGTCAAGTCTGGTGCTGGGAGAGAGTCCCACACTTCGAAGCTGGACTGAAGAGAACCAGGCTCTTGAGCAGCAGCCCATCGGGAAGGCATAGGGACAATCAAGGTGTGGAGTCAGGTCACTTGACCCCTTTCTACAGTCTCGTAAACTTAAGCTAACTGCTTTCCCTCTCGAGTGGTAAGAGGAGGCACACCTGTACCTGTCAGGCCTTGCAGGACTCTGGTGAGGACTGTGCTTGGCCCGTAAAAAGTCTGGATTCTGCTGGAGCCCAGGTACAGGAGAACAAGGACAATGACTGGGGCCCGTAAAGATTGACATGTGATTCAAAACTTCTTGGCAGGTCCTGAAGCCCAAGCTGATGGGAGGACAAAAACGGTGAGCCCAAGGGGCTAGGGTGGCCACGAGTACCTTGTCAGGAGGACACGAAGGTCAGACCAGAGTGACCGCTGGATGGGCTCGGGGCTCTGGCCTGAGGGGAATGGCAGCTCTGTGTCTTCCTACGAGTGTGACCAGGCACAGATGACTATTTCCTAATAAGAATGTAATCACCTCTCAGAGCACTGGTTGTGCACCTGACACAAGCTTACCAAATGCCAGGGATTATGATTATTTAATAATTGTGGTCTCTATGGTATGCATATGGGCTGGCCCAGAGATGGATCCAGAACCGAGGGTGGTTCCTGGCTCCCAGCAAGCTCATAAAGCTTATCCCCCCAGTTTTTTTTTTTTCCTGTGGTAGAATCCCCCTGGTACCTACAAGGAAGAGAACTCCTCCATCACTAAATAGAGTTGGGGTGTGGCTTGGCCCTTTGAACTGGCTTCTCTTCCTCCATTAGGTCAACTGGGATATGGGTCAGGACACCAGTTGTGAGGCTTTGGCGCCTTCTACCGTGTCTCAACTCCATTGCCAGTCTGCAGAGCTCGCTGACACCCTCAGCTGAAGCAGGCCCCAGATCACATCAACAGCCTTCTTGACTTTAAAGCCCTTATCTGGACCTGTAATTATCTTATTGACTTGGTGATAATTATTGGTTTACCGTCTAACTTCCAGCACCTGCTTGATTCAGGGCCCTTGCATGTATCTTCCCGCAGTCTGTTTGGTGCTTGGCACTTCAGGGACACTAACAAATGCTTTTTGAATAAACACACAGGCGAAGTTTCACATTGAAGAGAGGTACAAGAACAGCAGATTGGAACGCAGACAGCCTGGGTTCCAGACACGGCTCTGCCTTCAATAGCTGTGGGACCTGTGGCCTCAATCTCTCCATTGATATCCTTAGGTCTTTCAGGTTTCAAGACCGTTTAGGTCCCAATAGTTTGTGTCTCTAAGGGACCCCTGCCAGGCTATAACTCTAAGAAACCTTGTTGGCCACTGTGAAGCAGGAAGTTGCCATGACAAATACAAGCATATTTATTTTGAAATATTTTCTCGGAATGTCTGTGACTAAGCCTAGAGAATTCTCCTTTCCCTTGGGGGCAGCCTCTGAGAGCATATGACTTGGGATACGCATGCGCACACGCGCACACACATACAGAGAGAGGGGGAGTGTACAATATTCATCTTCATACTCACAAGCTCACACACACTCGTGTAGTCCTTACACATGGGTTTGCACATGCCCATATGTGTATACCACACAATTCAAGTGAACACTCGCACAAATGTACTCATACATTTCCCCCATACACAGAGCTCATTTATACATCCTCATACATGTTCACACACTCAAGAGCACAGAAATACAATCATCCTCATACATGTTCACATACTCAAGAGCACAGAAATACAATCACACATATTTTCACTCCTTTGTACCATTATGTTGGTAGCTGCCACCACCCCACATTGTCACACCAACTCAGAAGCACACACATAAACTCACCCTGAACTCACATGCTATACTGTATGCACACACTCATGTGTATCCTGACACACAAAAAACCCACATATGCACCCTTACATATAATCACACACATTTCCTTTTTTTTTTTTTTTTTTTTTTTTTTGCTTTTTGTTTGTGTAACAGTCCTGGCTGTCCTGGAAACTCACTCTGCAGACCAGGCTGGCCTCGAACTCGCTGAGATCCTCCTTCCTCTGCCTCCCAAGTGCTGGGATTAAAGGCATGCACCACCATGGCCCAGCAATCACACATGTTCTCATGCCTACATGATCATACATCAACTGGATTGCACATGTAGTTACACTCACACACATGCCCACAGTGCTTATGTAATCTCATGCTCACTCTTTCATAGGCTTACATGCTTTCACCTTCCACATACATGTTTACTCGCATGCTCATATCCAACCTGCAGAACTGCTTATGCAGCACATACACACCTTCATACATGAATACTAACACTCGTACATACATTTATTGTTACGCATGCTCATACATCCAGAAACACATAAGCTCATCCAGTCACATCCACATATGCACAATCATACCCTTGAACACTCACAGACAGACTCACACATACACACCCTTTTCTGTTGTGTTAGCCCAGTCCCCACCCCATGGGCAGCTTGCCTCTGCTCTCTTTCCCCTCTTGGTTCTATTTATTTTCCTTAGCTATGATGAGCATATTTGGTGAGGGATCTATTTTCACCCTATCTGAAGACACATTTCCCCCTGGCCATGAGCTTGGCAGATCAGTGAGAAGATTCCCAGTTGCCATGTGGTGGGCTGCGATGGCTAAGGTCACACTAGGATGGAAACCAAGCAGTTAGAGTCAGGAAGGCTCCCCAGGGGTTCTGGCAGCCTCAGCTGGGGTTGCTGCCTCTGGTGACCTTTTTGGTCACCCTCACAGAAGCAGCTGTAGCTGAAGAAGATAGCCCTACCCCCTTGTTCCTTCCTCCTGACCTGGGTTTTCCCTGCCCCCTTATCACTTTGCTTCTTTTTTTTTTTAAATTTTATTTCACTTCATTTTTGTTTTTGGAGACAGTGTTTCTTTGAGTTGCCCTGGCTGTGCTGGAACTCACTCTGTAGACCAGACTGGCCTCGAATTCACTGAGATCTGCCCACCTCTGCCCCCCAAGTCCCGGGATTAAAGGTGTGGACCACCACCTCCTGCTCTCACCTTGTCTTTTTTATAAAGCGTTGTAGATCTTCTGGTCTCTCTAAATTTTTATATGGTTAAAAATAAAATTTCATGATCATTTCCTTTGCCCTAACATACAAGAGGACCTGTGTGTGTTCGTTCCCCTTCTCCTTTCAGCTTCATAACCAATGGGCTGGTTGTATCCTTATTCTCCAGTTTTACAGATTAGAAAACCGAGACTCAGAGAGATCAAGGGACAGGTGTAGGTATGCATCTGTCAGGGCAGTAGGGGTCCTTCTGTCTTTCTAGTCTCAGTCTCCAACACTCTCTGGTCTCCAGGCTGCACCCTGCAGAGCAGCCTGGAGTGGCCAAGGGCTGTGTGTGATTGGCTGGTTATGTGACGGTGGATTTAAACTAAATCTCAAGGTTGTATGCGTAGAGGTTGTCGCCCACTCTGTCACAGGCTGCTAGCTCTCTTGCAGGATACCCGCTCAGTTGCTTCCTTAGGCAGCTGCCATATCCGGTCAGCTTCTAGCTGCCAGGTATTGACCGCGGCAGTGTTGGGTGTGGTGAGGCCCACCTCCGGGAGGATTGATTGCAGAGTCTCTGAAACCTGAGCTCTTTGTCCGATCTGTACATCTTCCCCCTCTAGAGTTATGTCCTTTCTCATTCTGCAGCCCAGGAACGCAGAGCAGGACAAGCCCTCATGCAGCAAGCACGGTCTTGGCTTTCTGTGCCCTTTCTCACTCCCTGGCATGCTGGGAATTAGTCAGTCACTTAGTAAATGTTTGCAAAAATCAGAAGCATTTAAATGTGGACTAAAGATTTAAATATACATGTATTCAAACAAGGCATTCAAATGACTGTAATAATATAAAAGTTGTCCGACATCACTAGTCACTAGAGAAATGCAAATCAAAACCATAATAAAACACCATTTCACATCCACTAGGATGATGTCTGTTGAAGTGGGATTCCCCTCTGTATGCTGTGATTACCACTAATGAATAAAGAAACTGCTTTGGGCCTATAGCAGAGCTATAGGGGAACAGAGCTAGGCGGGGAAAACTAAATGGAATGCTGGGAGAAAGAAGGACAGAATCAAAGGAGAAGCCATGTAGCTCTGCCGGACACAGACGCCAAAACTTTAGCCGGTAAGCCACAGCCATGTGGTGATACACAGATTAATAGAAATGGGTTAAATTAATATGTAAGAGTTAGCCAATAGGAAGCTAGAGCTAATAGGCTAAGCCGTTATTGAATTAATACAGTTTCTGTGTGATTATTTCAGGGCTAAGCGGCCAGGAACCAACAATTGGCCCCCTCCTTACAGCAGTCTGTGGTGGAAAACTGGGGACTGGAGAGATAACTCAGCAGGGAAATCACTTGCCACTCAGACTTAAGAATTTGGATCCCCCAAAACTACATAAAAGTCAGGTGGGTGTGGTGACTGCCTGAAAGACAGTACCAGAGCAAGCAGGTTAGTAAGACTCTGAAACAGAACTCTGGGCTCAGCAAGAGACACTGTTTCAATACACAAGGTGGCAAGCAACCGTGGAAAAAACCCTACTCAGGCCTCCACATGCACTCAAACACGGAAGCTCATACACACATGGAAGTGTCCACACACATGTGTAGAGAGAAATAGTGAGTATTGTGGAGAAACTGGAGACCTTATGCACTGTGAAGAGCAATTTAAAATTGTACAGCCACTGTGGAAAACAGCCTGGCAGCCCCTCAATGGTAACGTGAGTTCCCACAAAACCTGACTATCCACTTCTAGAAAACTGAACACAGATGTCCACATAAAAACGTGTACACAGGAATTCATAACACAACATTATTCATTACAGTAAAAAAAAAAGTGGAAACGACAAACGTGTCCATCAACCACAGATGTGGACGAGCCATACAAAAATTATATGCCAGCAAAGAAAGCCTGAGAAAGAACAAGAGACAGAAAGAGAAGGAAGGAGGGAGGGAGCCGAAGAGAAAGGAAAGGCCAGTTTAAAGAGTCTTTATGGGCCTAGCTTGATGGTGCGTGCCTTTAACCCCAGAACTTGAAAGTCAGAGTTGGGAGATCTCTGAGTTCAAAGGCATTCTGGTCCACATAGTGAGCTCCGGGGCTACAAACGGAGACCCTGTCTCAAAAAATAATTTTATGGGAGTGGAACACAGAGGTTCAAAAATAGTGAATGTTTCTCTTTCTTTCTTTCTTTCTTTCTTTCTTTCTTTCTTTCTTTCTTTTTAAGATTTATTTATTTATTTATACAGTATCCTACCTGTAGGCCAGAAGAGGGCACCAGATCTCATTATAGGTGGTTGTGAGCCACCACGTGGTTGCTGGGAATTGAACTCAGGACCTCTGGAAGAGCAGTCAGTGCTCTTAACCGCTGAGCCATCTCCCCAGCCCATAGTGAATGTTTTTCATTGTGCATGGGAGGAAATAATGTCAGTCCTGCTGATGTAAATATGACAAAATGATAGCCATCACTTGTATTTGTTGGGCATGCTCATTCTTAGTGCCTAGTGATGTAGGTGTTTCCATACGTATTGTCTCATTTCATTCTTACCGTAACCCGCGTGGCAGGTTTTACTACCTCTTCCATTTTGTAGACCACAAAACAGTGACCAGAGGCAAAATGGCTTGCCCACGGAGCATCTAAGTTTGGATCAGTTCATCTTCAAAGCTCAAAAAAAAAAAAAAAAAAAAAAAAAAAAAAAGTTCTGTGTTACCTGCCTGTCTTCTTTTCACACAGCAGCAACTCACACCCACAATGAGAACCCACAATGAGAGATAAAAGACAGGAATGCAAGTTGCTGCTCCAGGCTATCAGGGCCTGGGATGGGAGGCACCAGGCTCCTGGCTGGGTATTTCCAAGGACATACCTCAGCTGGTAGAGTGCTGGACCAGTATGATAGAGCGTTGTGCTCAATCCTCAGCAAGGCATAAACCGGGAGTGACTGGCACCTGTGAGTAGCTTTTGGGAAACTAGTCTGGGAGCATGCGGGGCTACTTTCCAGCCAGACTGTGGTTTTAAGGGACAGGGAAGTTAGCATGTGTTTCTGACCCAAATTCTTTGGGGTTTTGATATACAAGGGCAGCCTCATGTGACCTTTCTATGTGTGTAGGCTTGGGCCTCAAGAACCAAGCCCCACGGGCAGTTCCTTTCCACCCACCCCATGAGGAACTCTGTGCCAGGTCCAGGCCAACCATGAGTAGGCCAGGGACATTTCCTTACCAGGGACTTTTTGAATTCCTAGGAAGTGGATTGACGGAAACGATAAAGGGGAACTTCTGAGTCCCTGCTCAATCCCAACTCTGCCACCCCTTGGAGCCTCAGTTTTTCACCTGTAAAATGGAAATAATTATATTCCGTAATTAGCCTGCCTTCTAAGATTGATGGAAGGATTTATTGAGTTGAATGCAGAAAATGGGGCCTGGATAAAGATCTAGAATCAGAGAAACAAAAACTGACAGACTAGTACACAGTTTGTATATTTTTTCATTTATGAGGCTAGGTCTTGACATGTAGCCCAGGCTGGTCTTGAACGCATGAAGGTCCTGCCTCGGCTTCCTACACGCTAAAATTGCAGATGTATACCGCTGCTTCATGAGCTTGCAGGCATGCTTAGCCCCACATCCATACACGATGCTTATCTTCATACTTCCTCATACTCCATGAATGTGATCTGACTTTCACATCCACAGACAAACTCACAAGTATGTTTATTCATATGTGTGCACATATGTACCCCCACATACTGTTTCAAAGCAAATTCTGGTAAGAAGACCATGAAAATTCACACTGATCTTGCCCCCATTCATAAACACCTGGTGACTGGCTTTATTTATTTATTTATTTATTTATTTATTTATTTATTTATTGAGACA